GGAGAGATGGAGAGACAGAGAGAGGGAGGGTAAGACAAAGAGAGAGAGATGGAAAGAGAGAGAGGGTGAGACAAAGTGATGAAGAGGGGAGAGAGAGAAAAAGCGATGGAAAGAGACAAGAGAGAGGGAGGTAGAATGAGAACGAGAGAAAGAGAGAGGTAAGAGATGGAGAGAGAATGAGGGGGGAAGAGAAAGATGAGAAGAGAAGAGTGAGAGATGGAGAGAGAGAGAGGTGAGAGAAAGCGATGGAGAGGGTTGGAAAGGGAGAGAGAGAGAGATGGAGAGAGAAAGACAGAGAGGGGGAGAAGAGAGATGGAAAGAGAAGAGAGTGATGGAGAGAGAGGGAGAAGAGAGAGATGGAAAGAGAAGAGAGGGTGAGAGAAAGTGATGGCGAGGAGAGAGAGAAAAAGAAAAAGAAGAGAGAAAGAGATGAGAGGTATGAGACAGAGAGAGAAAGAGCTGGGAAGACAGAGATGGAAAGAGAAGAGTGATAGGTGGAGAGAGAGAGAGGGGTGAGAGAAAGATGGAGAGAGGAGAGAGAGGGGGTTGGAAAGGAACATAGAGAGAGAGAGAGAGAGAGGGAGAAGAGAAGAGAAAGAAGAAAGAGAGAGTGTGTCTGGTTAGCAGCTCACTGTAGATGACTCAGGGCCTGGAGTGTAACTTTGAAGTGGCCGGATAAAGAACAAAGAAGGAGAGAAAGGACTGCAGGTACAAACATAATGACATATAGTAGTACACTCACTGACAATCTCAAGTACAGATGACGCTTAAAGGAGACGTACTGTATTTAAGGGCCCATTTTACACTATCTTCTGAGCTGTGTTATGTCTATGTTGTTATCTCATCAAAAACAGACCTGGAGTTGTGTTTTGTTTTATTCACACATGTTTAACACGCAAACTCTGCACATTTGAGCTGATTTCTTCTCTCAAACAAAAAAGACTGTGCTCCACTGTGTTTTTACCTTTCATACACCTTCACTTGCACCATTTGGATGATTTCAGACCTGGAATGGCCCATCTCTACTCATTAAAAGGTAAAAGGTAGCTGTTAACTTGGAAACTACTTCTCCATAACATCACAAGTTGGAAAAGCTTTGGAGATCTAGACAGACTAATAATTCAGTGTTACCATATTTTTCGCACCATAGGGCACGCTAATAAGCCTCCAACCCCATCAACAAACGACTCTGCGCCCCACAATCCAGAGCACCCTATACGCGAATCCACTCAGGTCTCCCAGCACGACTTCAGTAAACTAAAAAGCCGTAACACATGCAAACACGCACGGGGCAGACAGCAACTGTGCAGCGAAAAACACCCGCAGCCACACTCATCACTCCACGCAGACGAGGAATGGAACGGAGGAATGGAACGGAGGAACGAACCGAAAAAGCGAGTGCAATGTGCCACTTCTAGCCACAACGGAACAACTGAGTCACTGCGAACACGCCAACAATCCAGCGGTCCCAGACAGCACCCTCCCTACACGCCACAACTGAACAAAGCCCAGAGTCACCGTGAACGCGCCAAACAAAGTCCGACTGACCCATCTAACTGTTGTGTTTCGTTTAAAAGGTGCGGTTTATTTGTGAAAAAAGTTCGGAAATAGACCATTCTATGACAATGTACCTTATAATCCAGAGCGTCCAATAGTGCGGAAAATACGGTACTCAAACATGTGTGAATAAAACAAAACACAACTCCAGGCATGTTTTTCATGAGATAACAACATTATAACATGGTTTAAAGCTCAAATTAGTCAATTTTGCGTAATGAAGGACCTTTAAACCACAACTTGAGCAGATTACCATACTGACCTAAAATGGTGTAATAAAAGAAACCGGTACATTGATTTCATTAACTATTCAACACTTTTCATGACTTTATTTTGGAAAGAATCGTTACTGAACACGTGTATGACTCTGAGTCTTACTTTTTAATACAATAATAATCATAACTAAGAACAGAGCAGTGGGTGGATATAGGGGGTAGATGAAAACAGAAATTTTCATCTACCCCCTATCCTCAAAAACAAGATTACTCAAACATGCACGAATCAAAGTACACACAAGCAATGATGAGGGAACGCGTGATTATAGCGTGATTAAAAGTTAAATTTTGCTCCTTTGGCTAAACCGTTCATACCCTCAACATCCCAGCTAAACATGGCAGATAAAACTTTTAGCATAACTCGATCTAAGTTCATCTAAACTATTCTCCCCAACAGAAGCTTTCCGTGGCTGTCTTTTTGTCTGTATCTTCCCTCTGTCAACACCAGGCTGTACAGTGGGGAGCTCGTCATGTGGGTATTCAATTGTTCCCATTTTCTGCTCTACACACCGCAGCAAAGCAACTTCATTTTCTGCTTAATCAAAAAATTGGAGAAGTCTTTGAGCAAACCTCCCCGGACCAGAAGCTCAGACAAAAATTCTTACATAAGTCTGTATGTCGGGACAGAGGCAAAATGTCAGAGTGGGAATTTCTATTGTTTGGGACAAGGATTCTTAAGGACAAAGCGGCGTAGATAGGACTGAGTTTGTGCATACTTGTACAAGGTGGAGAAAATGTGTATATTGTAATTTCTATGTATCCTGGAGATATTTAAAGGGCCCATATTACACTACTTTCTGACCCATTATACTGCTTCCTCATCAGAAAACATACCTGGAGTTGTGTTTTATTTTATTCACATGTTTAACTCTGCGTGTTTAGGAGTTCTTCTTTCCAGCTGGAGACCATATGGTGATACAGGAAGTGCTTCTCTGTGTCTCCATATACCTTCACTAGAATCATTTGGATTATTTCAGACCTAATCTTGCCAATCTGCCAATAAAGTAGCTCTGTTAATCGTAAAACAACCACTACATGACATCACAAGGTGGAACAGGGGTATTTTGAGGTTTGATGATGTAGATATACTAATAATAAAAGATTATATACTAAACCAAACAAAACCAATATATCTGAGAAGGTAACATGTAACAATATCCAAATATCTTGGTGCGATATTATCACGATATGCATCTCATGGTATATGTATTGCAATATTTTGGATAATCTTATATAATTGTAGATAGGACAATTTTTTTTTTTGCTTTTAAGATTTTGATGTGAATTATTTCAGTCATAATAAATTCAAGTAAAATATATATATTTCTTCATGTGGTCTGCACTGAAATGAATCATGGGATATGTAGTTAAGAGTCAAAAAACAAATAGGAAAACACTCATTTAAATATAAAGCTCCCTCTGATTGGAACAATATTCCATCATCGATTTACTTCTGTCCTCTCATTTAAAAATGCTCAATATTTACATAACCCAAGTAATTGTTTTTGATCATTTGGATGAATTTTCTTGTCCATCTTGTTGTATTTTGTGAGTATATTTGAACTAAGTCTTAGTTTTTGTTGAAATTAGATTTATTATGTGCCTAACAGTCAAGTGTAAGTGTGTGTGTGGTTGATTTTGTTGTTTTGCTTTTTCTGTTTATTTGAATGTATGTAGTCTCCTGTTCGCCCTACTGTATCTGTTTTCTGTTGTTGTGACTATGAGGACCCCCTCAAAAACGAGACAGGAAGGGGCTTATCCTTCAAACAAACAAAATAAATAAATAAATAGTTACCTACGTTTATAAGCTGTCGCTACTATAACACAATGAATTTAAGTAAAGGAACTTGTAATTCGATATTTTGACAGCCCACAATACTACTTGAGACTTTTGACAATACAATATCACAACATTTTGGATATTGTTACATCCCTACATTCTAACACAGCTTGCAGCTCACAAAAGTCAAGTTCGATAGATAGATAGGTAGATAAGAAATAGAGAGAAAGAGAGAGAGTGATAGAGATACACCCAACCGCCTGACTTTAAACTCCAATAGTGTGCATATTAAAATTCCCATTAGTTTACTGGCAATGTGCTGTCTTTTCACAGCCCCTTACAAAACCTGTGCATTCTTTAAACCTGAGCTTCCACACATTCAAGTAATGGGCATTGCCATGACGACCAGGTGACCCATGCTCACAATTAGGAGTCTCTAACAGGCTGTGTGCTGTGAGCGTGCACAGATGCGGCGCATGCATTATGTAAAAGGCAGTCCCTGAGAAAGTGTGGCCCAACCCAAGCCCTGGCCTCCGCTCTCCTTTAATCTGATACATTTTTATCATGAGCCCGGTGAAGATCCAAACAAAGCACAGGGACATAAGGAAGCAACACACACCACATCTGTTTGGAGTCTGCAATGCCACCAACACGAGGTGCAATACAAAGACGGGGACAAAACTCAAACTGCAAAAAGGAGCAGAGGGAAAAAAAAAGAAAAAGACTCCAACTGTATTTCAATATGTAGGTTTTGTGCCTTCATTTCCTATTCCTGGCAGTGAAAACATAGAGCCCCTGCTGCGTCTGTACAGCTGCAGTTAAAGGGAGTTCAGCTTGATTGGTTTGTTTAAGTTTGAAGCTGATGGTAAAGACAATGGCCTGAATATATTATAGAGATGTCAGCCTGAACATTTCTCTCTGTTTATTGTGTGTGTGTGTGTGTGTGTGTGTGTGCGCCATCGTGTGTGTATGTGTATTTTTTCAGGCCTAAAAAAATACTGATACTAATACTAATAAAACAGAATTACATTAGACCAGCTATTGATACTTTGCATTGACATTATACGGGTTTTTTTCTGTATTTCTATGGTGCAATGTTCAGCAGTTACCATAGTGACGCAGTGTGTGCATTAGCAAACACAGGCAAAAAGTTTTAAGATTGTCTGAAAACACAAGAAAAATAGAAAATGGATTGGTCGTAGTTCCAATGAAGTCTGCTCTTTCTGGTCCCATTGTGTTAAAACAAAGCTGAGATTACCAACTTGACTAAAAGAACTTCAGACAGAGTAAAGCAAAGTATCAAGACTCCGCCGAAGCATCGCACTTTAAACCCAAATTAAAATGCAGCCAACATTCAAACAGTGCAGTAAGTGGATAGAAGCAGTTACCTGAGAGTTTGTTCTGATGTAGAAACTCCATCTGCACCTTCTGTCCGGCGCGCTGGGCAAGCAGGTACGGCGTGGAGTGGGCGGGGTCTCCTGTGGCGCACATGACGTCAGCTCCACTAAACACCAGACTCATTGTGGTCAGGACATCAGGGAGGACCACAGCAGCACACAGGGCCTACACACAACAGAGAGACTTTTAACAGAGGGCATTTTAACTTAGGTCACGGGGGGTCCACACATTTTTCACTGCACGAATATAGAAACATTTGCCATAGACTGATACTCAATACAGTAGGACCACCTTTAAACAGTTTTGGAACACACATTTTAGGCCTGTATCACAATGCAATGCCATGTTATTTAGGTTGGAGTGATAGATACTTGAATTTTCTGTAAAAAGCACTGTCTAGTCTACTGTCTGTGAACATTTGGGGCAATGCAGCAGGATGTCATGTCTGAAGAAGAGCTTGACCCCGAAACGTCACATTGTGGTGTCATTAAAATTTGGCAGCTCCAAAGAACTGCAGTTCAGTTTTTGTTTTTTTTTTCTCTCTTTTGGAGAATTTTTGTCTTTGGACCCTGCACACAATCACAAATTTTACTGGATGTGCGCATCTTTATCTACCACTCGATCTGTAGCTGGATCCCTGGGAGCCAACAAAAATTGGTCTAAGGGTCAGATTTGACTCCCTGGGCCATAGTTTGGACACCCCTGATGTTTGATTCTTATGTCGACCTTTTAAAGCTCATTCATCAAGAGCCCTCTCACTTTCTCTGTCCTCCTCTGTGAGCAACAAAAGCACAAAGATCCTCCAGGACCATAGACTGCCACACTGAATTACTGTCATCAAGAAAGCTGTGCAATTAATCAAATTTTAATAGAGATCAAGATTTGGTAATTTAATTGCTTGTGTCTTTTAATCAGTGGGTCTACTGTACTGTGGAGCTTCACTATTTCCTAAGAGACCAGTAGGTAAGGCCTGGTCAAGCTCCATGTCAGATCTGTGGAGAGTTTATTAACAGTGACAAGATCTGTAAATGACTACAAGCAAAAAAGAAGTTTAATGTCATACTGCGGAACATTCTAATCAAAACATTAATATCTTCCTAAAGACTGGTAGGTGTCTGACCCCTGCTAGAAAAGACTTCATCCAGTAAAAGCTGCTATACACCACCATGAATAAAGTCATAAATGTGAAGTTTGTATTGAGTGTTTTTTCATGGTTGAACAAAAGCTCCCCTCTAGTGCCCACGGTGCTGCTTAAGGCACTTGGTCTGGGCAATCAGTCATAAAGGCTTCTGTGAGAGGTCTCGGGGGAAAGTTGCATTCAATTTCGCTTCCATAAATACATGTTGTTGACGATGAGATGCTCCTTTAATGGCGGAAGAACACCTCTGCTCATATTGAAAGCGTCTCGCCAGGCAGACGTGCTTTGTAAAAACTATTCACCTGTTTCACCTTGTAAGCACACTCAGAGAAAACAAGATAAAAAGAGGTAGAGGGACACAGCGGAGGAAAAGACACACACTCTCTCTCTCTCTCTCTCTTACTTTCCGTCTGCCTCTTCCCATCAGTGCGGTCAATGGATGTGACATTGTGCACCGTGACCTGAGACAAAGTGGATAAACTGGAGAAAAGCGGAAAATGGCGGAATTTCAAACAGCAGTGGGCCCGGGCTTTCATCGGACCTGGATCGCGGCCGTAAGCTCCATCGATCCGCCACAAACGAGCCAGATCTGTCTCAAAGTGAGGAGCGTAACCGGGCAACAGACAAACTTAAAGTGTTTGTCAATAAAGACCAAAGGATATGAAGACATGGGGGCTTATCTCAGGTAATGTCCCATGTTGTCCACAGGAATGTCAGTGGGTGTTCAGAATAGAGAAGTACTGTGAAGTAGTTAAGTATTCAAAAGTTATTAAAAGTTTACTGAGGGCAGTGAGGAAGGCCATAACAAGAAGATGGCTCAAACCTTGGTATTGAAACGATACCAAGTACTTTTGAGAGTAAAATTTTGATACTGATACTCGTTACTGGTCTAACCTTGGATGGTAAAGGCATTTCAATAAATATATGTATACAAGAGTTTCAATTAGAGATCAACCCATATAATTTTTCATGGCCTGTACCAATATTGCTTGTTTAGAATCCAGAGCAGCTGATGTCCGATAAGCTCTGAGATATTTGGGCCGATATATGGGACAGATTTTGATTATTTTCCTCAAATTATGTTATTTAAATTTGCTACAAACTCACCCACAGGCTTTTTTCACTATAAACCTTTAAGAGAGCAGTGTATCTCCATTAGCGGATATGCTAAAAAGTCTCAATATCAACCTGATCTATCAGCAAACTGGTCTATCTCTAGTTTCAATGTCCTTAAAATGTCTTAAATCGATGCCTAGTCCCAAATTTTGCATTTGTTTATTTGTATTTGTTAATTGCATAACAATACCGTTAACTACATTTAAGAGTCAGTATTGATTAGGGGTGTAACAATAACCAAAATATCATGATATTGTATAGTCAAAAGTCTCACAATAATATCGTCAGCCATCACAATATATTGAATCACAAGTTTCTTTGCTTAAATTCTTTGTTATGGTGTGGCAATAGCTAAAAGAAAACTGAGGGAACTTCATCAACCATGATCCTTTGCTCTATTTTGGTGCAAACTACATGAAGAAATAACAGTTTCAAGCACGTTTAAATCTTAGTTCTTTCGATTAAATCTTGTCAAGGATAAAGTAGCATATTTACAATTTTGTTCCTCCACAAAATATTGCAATAAATATACCATGAGATGTATATCGTGAAAATATGGTACCATGAGATTTGGATATTGTTACATCCCTAGTGTTGATATATATTGACTTTGATATCGATACATTCCTATAATACCAATAAAAGTCAGATGTAGGCCTTTTAAAATTACTAATAATTTTACTTCCATCTACTGCCACTAATATTTAATATAGAGCAAACAATACGTAACACCCTCTAACCTCGACTATAACCAAATATGAAACAAAAGAAAAAACTCCATTACAGACTCAGTAATATAGAGGGACTAGTGTTCTTTTCCTATATCAGTGGCGTTTATTCAATTAAGCAAACGTGTAACCTGCCTGAGTCGGAGTACCCTCGTCCCTCCTCAGTACTTAGTCCCTGCTTCTGCCTCTCACATACGACGGGGTCAGATTAACCTGGCCTTATTCTGTATCGTCTCTGGAAGTGACCTCCTGTGTCAGAGCAATTACTGCAGCCACTAGAGTCCAGCCAGTGTGCGTGTATGCCCGTGTGTGTATGTATGCATGTGTGAGTGTGTGTATAGGTGTGTGTGCATGTGTGCATTGCCCGTGTGTGTGTGTGAAACAAAGGCAGTCCGTGTAATGATATAAGGAGCCCCCCCCGTAGGTCAGTTGATCTGCGGAGACACTGTGGAGGTCGCCAGGATATGAGCTTCTAATGGGGAACATGGGACTGCGGACGAGATCAGGGTACGGAGAGAGGGCGGGCACCGGGAACGCCCCCCCCGCCCCCTCAGCCTCCTCCGCCCCCTGCGCATTCTATTAGACGCCTTATTGATGCGGCCGGGCATAAATCACGGGCAGTTTTTATTTCATTACTCTAAACGACACTTAAAAGAGATTTACTGGCTCTGTTGAGTGAGTTCTGTGACCCCTGGGCCAGTAACATGTATTAAAATGTCATTGGCAGATTTAAAAAAAAAAAAAAAAAAAAAGCCTGAATATCAATGAGGAATGATCTTTGTAATGGCGACAATTCCCAGTGGGGTGAGGTTTAATATAGCTGTATCATGGCTCACGCATTTGCCGATTAATTAATTCTGAAAAGAAACTCAACGGCGTGTCAAATCTGATTAAGTGAACCGGCTTTGTTTATGTTCAAATACTATTTTTCTAAATATAAAGATAGTACATTCGTTTGCAGAGATTGTGGTCAGTATTTGGAAGTAAATGAAAACATGTACTGAGAATAGACTCAGACTTAGACAAACTTTATTGATCCACAAGGGAACTCAAAACCTTGGTTGTGATTCTTAGAGCATCAAATGTAGTGATTTTGATCAAGAATTTAGCAGTTTTGAAGTGATTCAATTGATTAATTGATTGATTTATTTATTTTTTTGTATATTTGTGCTTTTGTCAACTCAAATTAAATGTGCTAAAAATAAAGTCTTAATAAAGTCTTAAATAAAGTGCATTTTAACGGTCTCAGACTTTGAGGAAAGGTATTTTTTTACTTGTCAGTCCAGATCTAAAATGTAGTGAAGTAAACGTAAAAGTATGAAGTATCCTGTAAAAATTTCTTAAAGTACATTGTATAACTTTCCTGGTGGAGCGTCTGTCAAATGCTTTTCTTTATAGAATTGTTACTGCTTTGTCTGTATTGTTTCACATTATGGTTTTAAAGCTTTCCTTTTTCATAGAGATCAAACCAGGCCAAGTTACAGGTCAGATCTGCGGAGAGGCGACACCACTCACAGTCAGAATGTCTGTTTTTCTAGGTATTTTTCAGATATATATAAAAAAAAAAAACACCTGAAATTGAATAAATGTAAAGCAGAGCTGTTTAATGTCATACTGTGGAATATTCCAGGCAGAGCAATGACCTAACCATAGCAACAAGAAGGTGATGGACCCCCAACCAAAAGTTACATAGTGCACCTTTACCTTTTAATTAAAGTAAACCTAAAACTATACTTACTTTTGTACTTTTACGTTTATACTTCATTAGCTTCTAACACTGACACATACCCCCAACTGAAGCCAGAGAAAGCCTCAGTAAAACCAACTCAAGCATTTCTGTTGTGATCCTAATCCACTTTTCCACTTACCTCGCACCTCTCTTTCTCTATTCACTCGCTCCAGTCTTCTCTGTATACAGGAAAACAAAGCAAACTGCAATGATCTGCGTAAATGCTGACGAAGGAGGAAACTTTACTGGGCTTTTTACTAGGAATGTAACAATAACTGAAATATTGTAATAGCGGTATCGTCAAAAGTCTCACAATAATATCATGGGCCATCAGAATATATCGAATTGCAAGTCTCTTTGCTTAAATTAACTGAAAAAATTCACACATACAAAAAAAAACAAAAAAAAAAAACTACATAGACCACAATGCTTTGCTCTGTTTAAGTGCAGATTA